TTATTTTAGTGATACATAGATATTCCTTTGGAGAGTTTATAAATCTGGCATGATGTTGAATCCCATCCTAAAATCTGTTAATGATGTTATTTTTGTCTTCATTGTCACAGGTATGATCATGGAGAATTTGTTTTTGAATACAGGAGAAACATCTTCACAGTTTCTGGAGGGTGCACACCTGTGGAGTAGACACTAAGTAAATTTCTAGACAGCTATTTCAGCAAACCTACTGAGAGAGCTCATACACCTCCACCTCCCATCATCTAAACAGCATGCCTCTGCTGGCCTAGACTCAGAATAGCTGTAAGTAATTGTGTGCCACTCTTTGGGTTTGGTCCTGGGTTTTGGCAACAACGATGTAGGTAAATTTGTTGCAACAACTCTGGGGAAAGGTGTCCTGAGTACCTGTGAGTCAGGCAACACCTTGAGCTGCTTAAGACAACTCTGATGTCAGGAACTGCAAGGAGACAGTTTAGACCTGGAGTGCAAGGTATCCCACACATCTTGAGCATCTCAGAAGAGCAGCTCTGCCCTGAAGTTGTCCTGGACACCTGGAGCTGTTTATCACAGTTCTGATGGCTAGAATGACAAGGGGACAGTTCAGCCCTGGAGTGTGAGGTATCCTGAACACGTCAAGCTGCTCACAACAGCTCTGCCCTGATGATGTAAGATAAACAACTAATTGGTGATTATTCTACTTTGCTACATTGCTACCAGATACATGAAAATATGGCTCTGAATATACACATAAAGTATTTAATGTTTCTTATATTCTTATGTATTAAGCATTTTAAAATTAACATCGTTGTCTTACAAAACAGCACACATTGGGAGTAGATTATCTACTCTTGGACTACTCTGGAGGTAGAAACATGAGGACCATGAGTTCAAATGTATACTTGAATCATTACTAAAATCAATGCCAGGCTTAATGTAAACAACAAAATCTCAAGAGAATTTGTGAAAACGTGAAATCAAATCCAAGGCCACAACACACCACCCTTTCACAGACACTCTTACTCAGAATGTATGATAATACACTGCCTGGTATTTAAATAAACAATAGACTAGTAATATGATTGGATTCCCATTTTATGTATTACAACAGAAAAATACATATGACTAAGTAAAAACACAATGGAAGATAAACAAAAGCCACAGAAGAATATGAAGACCACAAAAGTAAATTTAAATAAAAGAATTTACCACACATATAGCACACTCTGGTATCTACCTCAAATGTTTCAAAATAGAAAAGAAATTGCATTTATCTCCCCCATCAGTCTTGCCTAAACATAGTAACTAATAACTAATTTACTTCCTTCAAGGCTATGATGAAAAGAAAATGAAGTAAGATATTTTTCTTTAAGCTGAAGAAAATTGTGATGTCTAAAATCTGTACCAAGTTGTTTACATGAATAAATTTTTTCTTGTGTACGAATTTGTCCCTATTTCCTGATTTTAACATGATATAAATAGGTTTTAAAATATTTTCATGGCTAGAGAAATGGTTGGGTAGTTAAGGAAAGTTCATTCCCGGAATAAGACTTGATTTTGACAATTTGCTTTAGTTCTTGCTACAAGAAGATTCAAGAACCTAACATTTTCAGAAACTGACATACAAATTCACATACCCCAAAAACATGTACTGACATCACATAATTAAAATTAAAACAACTCTTTAAAAAACAATTTTTCACTGAAGAAACTTTTTCATTTGTAAGCATGCATTGCTGTAACACAGGTAGTGAGACATTTAAAGGTTAACAGAGATTTTTTTCATTGTGAGTTTGTTCATATAACAGAAAACAAGCATGTGTACTTGAAGTCAGAGAAATCCTTTTCTGTTGGCAGTATAATTTGTGAAGGTTTAGGAAATGCTGTTCTGCTGAAGAAATATGTCACTGGCGGTAGGCTTTCATAAATTATATCCACACATCATTTTCAGTTCCCACTCTATGCTTCATGTTTTAGGCTAAGGATGTGAGCTCCCGGTTCAGCTGCCATGTCTGATATTTGTTGCCATCCAACTTACATGGTGATCCTGTGTCCATCTTGGGCCAAAAAAAAACTCATTATTAGTTGACATACACGTTATATAAGAAGAACAGAAAAGGAACTAATAAAAATATAATGCTTGAATTAGTTTTTTAAGTAATTAAAGAAAAGTATAAAATCTAAAAATACTACATTGTTATTTAAATTCATAGAGGAGGTGCTTTCCTCTGAAAGGAAAAGTTCCCTGAGTATCAAAAGTTAGGCTACACCTCTTGTTGCAAGTGAAAGGTGTCCTACTTATACACAATTGAGAGGAGAAAGATATCCTGGCTGTTCGTGTTTCAGGCTCTACCGGAAGCTGTGGAGTAAAGGTTTCCAGGATACCTACAGCTCAAAAAAATCTGTGCAAGGAAGCTAGATACCTAAAGCAGTGAGGAGATAGGAATAATGACTATTAGAAAGTTAGACTAGTCCTGAAAGTTTGTCCCAGTGTGGGGTAGTTTACTGGAAGGATGTGGGAAACCTGTTCCTCTCCAAAATAAGAGCCATTATAGCATAGCTGTGCTACACTCAGCTAAGAGAGATTTCCAACAGAAATGTCCTTTGCTGCTCTGCTCCACTCCCTTATGAGAATTTCCCAGGAGAGGTGTCCATTATTTCTCTGTTCCACGGCCCTAGGGAGTTTCCCTGCAGAGATTCTGCTCTGCTCTGGCAAAAGTAGATCTTCACCCAAATCTAAATAAAGACATATATATAGGGGAGAGGAATCCAGAATAGTGGCTGCCTTTGTCAGTGTGAAAAGGGGCAGCTGCCAGGTGAACAGAAACAGTGCTTCTACGGGGTTTCATAGTGGTGGAGATTTCCAGGGAAAAGATTTTGAGGATAGGTATTGGTTG